CCCTAAAAAAAAAAAAAAAAAAAAAAAAAAAAGGAGCATAAGCCCAAATAAATTAAGGAAAAAATGAAAAATAAAATAAATGTAGAAAAGGTCGAAAAATGAATGCCCCCTTCGGGCTTCTTGCTAAAATTCCACCCACCACCACAAACACAAAGACCACCACTTCTTTCTTCTTCCCTTTTCCTTCTCTTTCCCCCCGGCATATCCCCTCGTTTTCTCCCTCCCCTCCCCTTTTTTTTTATACGACCTCCCCAAGTCCCCGCTCATGCCGCTGCCCACACACAAAAAAAATAAAAAATAAAAAAAAATCTGTGGAGTGCGGCAAAGATGGAACCAAAACAAAAAAGAAAGGGACCCAATAATCAGGGTCGCCCCCGCCCTCCCCAACTCCCTTCCCTTCACAACCAACATGTATAAAGCAGTAAAAGAAAAAGAAAAGGAACGGCGGGCAACTGTAAATAATTCATCCACTCTATTTTGCATACACTTTGTTCCGCTCTTGCCGTGTCTCCCATCCAACCCTCCCTCCTTTTTGCCTTTTGCTTTCGTCTTTTTGATTTTATTTCGTTAGATTTAATTGCCTCCTCGCTTTTTCTTGGATGGATGGAGTGCAATTTTTTTTTCTTTTGTTTCTTTGTTTGATTGCCTTATTATTTATTTACTTTCCACCACTCCAACGCATGCACTTTGCCTGGCGAGACCAATGCACCTACTCGAGGTCGTCATTGGCTTGCGCGGCGTGCTTTTTGCTCTTCATCTCCGCCCTCTTCCGCTTGTACTCTTCAGTCAGCACCACCGCCTGGTATTCCGCATCAAAGCCATCAATATCGCCCTGCACAAAGGGCTCCGTGAGGCAGGGGTACACAATCGTCTTGGCCACAAGCCTTCCGTCCGTTGGGTCCCTCACAACAGTCGTGTCTCCGAGCGGCTCCACGCGGCTGTGGCTTGAAAAATACACAGTGATGTGAAATTCGTATGTCTTGGAGTCATTGTAGAAGGCCCACTGTTTTCTATCTCCGCTCACCAGGCGAAAGAGAAGACCATTGTCTCGCTCTGTGCACTTGCGTATTTCATCGTAGGAAAACGAGTCACTAGGCCTGCCGTTGACGAAGCCATCGGCCTTCGTTTTGGACTTGCTAGATCCACACCCCATTTCCTTGCGGCTTAATTTGCTGGCCTCCCTATATATGTATATATATATATATATATATATATATACGTAAGTCTGTGTGTGTATGTGTGTTTGCGGATTTGTGTTGAGGCTGTTGTTGGTGTCCGGCTGGTTTTACTTCGGCTTGAACTCCGCTGTTATAGTAATACTGAAGAACAAAGTCCCAATTGTATTTTCCTTTTTTTTCTTCAGTTTATTTATTTATTATTATATTTATATTTATTATATAAATATATATATATATATATATTTTTTGGGAGGGGGCTTAACTTGGCTCCCTCTTACTCCTGTTGCCGCGGATGTTGTCAGTGCTTTTCTCCCGTGCCCAACAACGCAGATAGAAAGAGATGGGTGAGCGGGGTGAGTGGGTCGTGTGTGCATAGCAGCCATACACACATGTACGCAGGGAAATAAAGGAAGAAAAGCGAGAGAGAAAGAGGAATGGCCGCAGGCACTACACACACAAACACATGCACATATACCCGTGATTTAATGGCATCATTTGAACAGCAAAGAGGGAAAGGAGGGGGCAATCAAGACGTACGTAATGAAGCTGGACGCTCAGATGACAGATGAAAAAAAAGTGTCCAGCGGGATCCAAAGTGAAAATAAAACATAAATAAATAATAAAGCCATAACAACAAAAAAAAATAAAAAAATAAATAAATAGAAAAAAAAAATTAATAACCGTAAATCATAAAGACAACATGACCACAAAGAATATTGCACTGCATTCATAACAATTTATGGGAACTAACCACCATACATGCACACACAGGCACATGTTAAAATACTAACAGGCAAAATGTGTCTCCCCCGCGTTGCACTCCTTTACTGAAGAATCTCGCACCTGATCGAGTAGTCACCCACCAAGCCCTCAACAAACACCACGGTCTCCAGCGGCCTCACCATGACAGATGCACGTAGACAATTGTCATCTGTATGCTCCGTTTTCACGTCCTCATTTATCACCCTTAATCCTTGCGTTGCACAAAAAAAACTTACTGTGATTTTGACGGTCAATTGCTTACTGTCGTTGTAGAAAGCCCACCGCACTGATTTGGAGGTATTTTGCTGCGGCTGCTGCGGCTGCGGTTGAACATCATTCTGTTCCTTTTTTCCCAACGCGTGCTCCACCTCTTCCGCCAGAAGAGGTGCTACGATGAGAAAGCATGTTTCCTTTTTGCTTATACGAAACGCCGGAGTAATCGTGCCGCTGTCACTGGGCGCCACCGTCGACATGTCAGGGCAGCCGTGCCAGAATTTGCTTTTTTCTCCTTTTAGTTCCTCCGCCGCGCCCCCCTCCTTTTTGAGGCCCATCCCTTTTGCCAACGAAGCACCGCCGCCCATTGTTGTTTTTGTTGTTTGGATCGTCTCTCTTCCTGTAGGGGCTCTGTTCTGCGTTCAGGCCATCGGCGCCCGTATTTCTTTTCCCTTCCCCTATTCCCTTTCTGTTTGGCGGGTGCCTCACCACCCAATGCAAAGGAGAAGGAAAAAAATTGAGATAAAACAATCCACAACAGCAGCGGCAGCGGCCGTTGATGGAGATGTTGATGGTGGCGAGGTGTCCGTCACACGCACTTCACGCAGCAGGAAAGTGGGGAGCAAAAAAAAAAAAAAAAAAAACATAACGATGGCAAATAAATACCCATCATGGAGGAGGCGACGACAATGACACACCCACAGAAAGAAAGAAAAAGAACTGTAAAAGCAATGAGAAACAATATATATAAAATAAAAAAAAAAAAAAAGAGGAAAAGGAAGAGGAAGAAGAAGAAAGGGCGAAAAACTGGGGTTACATCAAACAACAACAACCAAAAAAAATAATAATAAAACTGTCCATTCAACAACAACAAAAACAAAAACAATTCGCAACAAAGAGAAAACAATAAAAGCCACATTCATAATGATGAATGGGCCAGCAATGGACAGGCAAAGAGCATGAAGTATACACATACGCGTATAATATATTATTATTGCCCTCTCAAACTAACTAGCCTTCGCGCCGCCCATCTATAGAAACTGATATGAACCACCACCACCCACCCCCCCATCTCATCTTACCTACCAGACACATGCATTTCACCTCCTTTTCTTTCACATGCCAGATCCCACTGGGAAAAAAAAAAAAAGAAAAAAACAGACGAAAGAAACTATGTTGCATCATATATTATTATTAGTATTTTATTTTCCCTTCTTTTTTTTTTCTTTTTTTTTCATTCTTACTGTTGTTTACGTGTATAAATGTATGGAATAACTCTTAGAAAGGACACACGAGGAAGGATACACAAACACGTAAGGAATAAGGGAGGCAACAAAGTAATGCCAATCATATGCGCCTTTTTTACCCCCCTTGTTTTTGTTTTTGTTTGTTTGTTGTTGTTGTTGTGTTTCCCTCCTCCTTTTCCCTCCGTCACTTCCTTCTCTCCCCCGTGGCAACATCACGTGAAGAAGCAATTTCGTAATGGCCACGAAAACCATTGTACTCGCCACGCATAAAGAGCTCTGTCCCACCCGGAGGAAGGAGAAGATCTATGCTACAACTACCTAAAGCCGCATCCATTATGATGCACTCTGCCTTGCCAATGGCTTCCACTGTGCTATCCCTCCCAAAACTGACGGTGATGTGCATGGTGTATTCCATCGTATCGTTGTAGTAAGCCCACGTGTGGTGTATTTCGTCCACAAGACGGAACAGAAGGCCATTCCCCTCATTAAAGCAACAAAAGAGTTTATCGTAGCGAATCTTCGTCGACGGACCCGGGCCAAGGAATAGTGGTGGCTGCCCCCTCTTTGTTATTGCCGCAGGTCTGCATGGCCACCTCTGGTGGATGTAGCCGGCACGGGGATCCCTCTCGACAGAAGACGGGTCCCCGCTGCAACTGGATGAAATACGAACTTCTTTACCTTCTCCCGAGCCGGATGTCATGCTACAACTCCCTTCAGAGTGATTTGGAGCAGTGACACCCTTCTGAATGAAGACCGGCCACGCGTTTCTTTCAGTCTTCTGCCAGTCTTCATCGAACCTCCCGGTTGACCCCCTGAAGCCATGACGGTCCTTCTCCAGGGCTGTCCTCAACACCAGTTTCGGGGCGGTTTTGCCACCCAATTCCCCTATCATTGCTTCTGTCTGCCTTCCCTTGTCCCAGTAGCCTTCCTGTCCTGCTGGTTGCACCGACAGGAACCTAGACACAAACATCAGAAAAAAGGAACACACACACACACAGAGAGAGAGATAAATTTTCAAAAAAAAATGTGGATTTAATGCAGGGACCGCCTCCCGCTCCCGCCCCCTCTCTTCACCTCCACCACCCCCCACCTGCACAGAGGAATTCAAAGGCAGCCCCATGCGTTTTGTTGTCTTCTTGTGATTTTCGCCCCGGGCAAGGAGCTTTGTTGGGGGGGCACGCCCCACACCGAAGGGGCGGTGGAAAGGCAGAGCCGGTGGGTGGGGTGCGAGTGAGAAGTGAAATCCAAAGAAGACGTGACTCGGGAGTCACGCAACGATGGCGTGAAAGAAGGGACGGGAGAAAAAAGTTGGAGTGGCATTCACAGGGATGAGTAGGATATTCCTGCAAAGACGCCCAGCCGTCGAAATTGTAAGGGCGAAAGGAAGTGAAGAAACACTAAAAAGAATGAAAAGGAAAATAAAAAACAAAAAAAGAATCTCGAACGCCACAAAACATAACCGGCAATTCCTCCTTTCCACCACCCCTACTACACACAACAACGACAACAAAAGACACGTGCACGCCCACAGAAAGAAGCCCAAATTAATATATAACTTGTCACTTGCACCAGAGCAAACCCAGGGGTGAGAAACAAATTGTTGGTGAGGGATCGTGGCAAACGCCTCAGAATTCACCTACACAGATCGTCATTGGGAAACTTCTATTACACGTACGAGGAAAAAGGTTGAAACCCCACAACCGCCAAAAACAACGACAACGAAGTAAAAAAAAAAAAAAAAGAAAGAAAAACACACATGCTTTTCGTGCACATGCAGTTGCAGAATATCTTGCCCCACATCACCTTCCTTTTTCTATTTCTCCCCCATACCATTCCCCTCCTCCTCCTTAGAATACGTATATATAATATATACATATAACATTGCATGTGCGTAAAAACAAACTTGAGGCACCCGTTAAGCGTGTCGCTCGGGCATAGACAACTTTTTTCGCCCATAAAGTTGCAAATAAGTCCCACCCGCCACACCGCACAAAGGAAGAATGGGATGAAAGGAAGCCGCGCCAGGCTGCTGCTTGAGACGTATGTGCGCCCGACAGGAGTTTCCTCCTCCGCCTGATGACGATGTTGCTTTTGATGATGGGGAGGCCAGAGCATCCCCTACAAAAAGAGCATCTGCCGTTACAGACAGGGTCATAAGGGCGTAGTGATAATGCTGCACGTCCATGTAGCCCACTGAATTGAAAGAAGAGGAGCCGGCACCTCCTGTTTCTGACACCACTCTCTGAAAGAAGGGCTGCTGCAATTTTCGATCATCCCACATCATCACAACACCCTGCTCTCCACCGTACCCCGTCACAAGACCGTGCGGATAGCGGCATGAAAATCCAATATGCAAACATAGCGGTTTGTAGTCACCCAAACTTCGTAATTGTCGCTGGAGTGATTGCCCCAAGGATGTGGGATCCGGTAAAACGTGGGTCGAACGACTAGAATTTCGCAGGTCGTAAAGATAAATAGAACCCGCGCCCACAGCAAAAGTAAAAACGTCATAGGGATGTGAAGCTAAAGCTGATGGTGAATGCAGAATTTCTCTGCGGCCAGCTCCCGCCGAAACTTTCTGTTCGCAGTTCAGGTCCCACGATGCAATGGATCCGTCTGCACCACTCACATGCAACAACATCGCTGGTGTGTGGTAAGAAGAAAGACATTGATGGCTCCGAAGGGACTCTTCATATGTCATGGTCGCAAAGGATGTAACGCGTCTCACCGTCGCCGCATCGGTGTACGCTGAAAACATCTGGACAGACCCCGATCGACCCACGGCGCAGAGTAGTGTGCGGTAAGCTGAGTCCACCAAATGCAACCCTGTGAGTGGATCAACCCCTCTGGCCACACGTCCTCCATAGTCGTTTGTCCCCCACAACCCCGCCCGCCGCGACAATGGCACATCGGGGGCACCGCCAGTCAATCGTTCATTAGCAACTCCAGAAAGACTTACACATTGCGGTATTGTCAGTTGTGTACCGTACATATACTTCAGAACGGTCGAGGGTGGCATGGCGCAACCCGGCCGGGCCACCACCTCTGAAAGCTGAATCTGTGACAACAGTCGACAAAGCTCACCAGATTCCTGCGAGGAACCAGGGGATGAAGTCGAGGACGCCAAAAGAAAACCCTCCAACTCGGCAAAGGACCAAACCTGAATAACACCTTGATTTGTACCCGTTATAAAGTGCCGCTCTGTGGGATGAAAGGTAAAAACCTGAATATGACCATTGCGTTCCGCGGAAATGTTCTTCTCGGCCAAAAGCCGAAAGGATTTTTGACGATCTGTTGTCCACGATACAGAGGCATCAGCTCCGACAGTCGATGACGACGGCATAAGTGGTGAGGAAAGTGAGGGTGCGTGCCCTCGTGTCCCATCCTCCTGAGGCATCATGAGAAGACTCAATGGATGGTTCCAAGACGAGGCAGACGGAAGCAAGGGAGATACGACAGCGTGGCCCTCGTACCCACAGGAACCGTAGCTAGATGACACCGTTACACGCAACTCATCCCGCAACCGTCGCAGATATTTGAGAATGTACGCGTCCTTTTCAAGGTTGAAGGGGTGTCTGGGGTCATGATCATCCATGGGTATCAGCAGCAGTTCCCCGAGAAACGAAAGTAGAGTAAAGACAAAGGAAGAAATAGTCATATTGTCGTGCACAGAAACAGTGCGTAATGAGACACTAACATCTGACACTGCCGCACGTTCACCAAAAATAACGCCCGTGTCCAGCAGTTCTTCAACCAAATCCTCGTCCCCAACACTTCGTAGTACATGACCGCTTTGGTGGCCCTCTCTAATTGCATGCTTCCCTCCACGCGACGTCAGCGTATTCAAAACACCTGAAAAAAAATTTGCGATGCCGGAATTGCGGGATGTGGTGGTTGCGCCGCCACGCCCGCATGGAACATTACCTGCAGGCTGGAAAAGAGGTAAATACCGCACGTGTAACATGGACAAATCATCCCTCAGTATTTTTTGAGCGTGTGCTGCAACCAAAGGGCAAGGGTCATTTGACGCAACACCGAGTCGGCATGTAAGTTCAGCCAACATGCGTAAAAGGGAATCCACACCGTTGAGGGTGAAAGAAGCAACGGGTGACTCAGCAAGGGGCGAGGGTGAGACAAATGGTAAATCGGGATCACGATAGTTCGTGATATTTTCTTCACACCCACGGCTCGTGGTTGTGGTACCCAATGCTTTACGCCACGCCTTGTTCAACTCACAGCGCACCGCCCGTCGTATATCCTCTAAGGACAAAGAGACAGAGAGACGCCCAATTAACCACTTGATCGCCAGGGATAAGGCACCAACAAATTCGAGACGATTGTCTGTGTTACCCTCAAGGGGTGCCCGTTGTACGGAGGTGCATTTAACGATGGCCCGAACGCACATGACCGCGGTCTCATCGTCCGTAATGAGGGAGACCAAAACCACAGTGATGGCCTTGATAGCTGCCCCACGTATAGCCGAGGAGGTTGTGATCAACAACGCCTGCAGCGCATCGACAGCAGTCGAGATATATGCCCGCACAGCCAATGCATCACCGCCACCGCTACCACCAGTTTGTTGTTGTTGATGGTGTTGGTCGTCCTCCTCCTTTTCATCCGTCTTGGCGACTGACAGTGTCCCTTCCCACGCAATAACCACAAAAAGAGCGATAAGACCAAGTACGTACGCTGTCATTAACACCGGATTGTTGTCGGGTCCACCGGGGGAATAATCGTCCCAGAAGTTTTCCTCCCTTCCGCTCTCTTCTTCCCCCTCTCCCTCGAGTCCATTCTCTCGTAACGGTACCCGTGGCGCTTTTGCAGCCGCTTCCTGCAAAAGGTTACAACACACGCGAAAGGCATCACGTTCTCGACAGCGACGTCGGCCTCCTCCGGAGTGGAGACAAATCATAGTGAGCAGCGATGCCGCAAGTAATTGCTGCCCCCGAGGCTCTGCCCAAGATCCAAGGACATCACGCTGCCACGCACCAGCCTCTCCACTCGATTCGGCAGGAACTGTCACGGGATGCTCCAGAATTTCCATACAAGTATCAATAATTACATTACGCTGCGCTGGATCAGCGTCTCCTAAAGAGGGATCCGTGTAGCAAGCCTTGGCGTAAATAAATAACAGAGTCGGTAAGAGATGGCGCAAGTCGCGACGCGTCCAATAGTGTACAAGAGCCATGCTAAAGATGCCCACCTCTGCGCAGGCCGTCACAGCCAAAGGACCGGCATCCACAAAACGACACACCAATTCGGTGGCCTGATCACGGTGCGACATCACCAATAAACCCTGAAGCAACATGGGCAACCTCATGATGTGGGGGAAGGGTTTCGTGCCAACAAAACTGCCCCCATTAAGAGGAGTATTCACTCGGAGAAACGATAGAGGACTGTCATCTTCCGCACGAGACCATCTCGTGGTAATGGCCGAGCCTCCAATAAGCTCAGTCCGTTGACGATCGGTGCTTACGAGTCGAAAAAATCCTTGTTCCGTAATGCGCTCCACTGCACCGGCCAAACAATTTAACTCCTCCTCCAGGAAATCCGGGACCACAACGCAGCGATCCCCAAGGGAAGGCAATGTCATTGAACCCTTCTCGTACCGCCAACTCGTTGCGTTCCAATCCAACCACTCTCGAAACTCCACGGCGTTTAATACCGTCGGAGGCGTTGGTCGAACAGCACGCCAAAGCGAAACAAAGGTACGATCAATAATGTTGTCCAGCGTATCCCACAAGTTGTGGTCACTGGTGCGTGGTAAGGGCGGGTACACAGTTACCTTCCCTCCCAGTGCCGTGATTATACGGTCAGCAAGAAGAAACCCGCGAAATAATGGGGCCACGAGAACATCCTCACGGAAAAGATGCATAAATAATGCATAAGGAAAGGAAAACCATGCAATACATTCCGTGATAGACATAAAGGCCCATTGTAGCGCGCCAAGTGGAGTTTTCTTATCGGTTAACTCCCCTGGAATCAGATATATCAAAAGAGGATGTATATCCGCTGTCTGGGCATGTTCCACAATAAACC